AGATGTCATATTAAGATGAAACTCTGCCTCTGGGAACCTGAAGTGTTTTCAGTCTGCTGCTTTTGTTAAGTCCAAGTTTAAGGGCAGATTTAACTGACATGACATAAAAATAGAAGGATATTTGGGGTGTTGGTTTTTTCCAACAGTTCTATTCTCACATCAATCCTATTTAGAAACTTGGTTCCACTATATCTCAAATAGAAAATCATCAGTACATAAATAAACATGGATTGAAAATGTCCAGCTTTTTTTTTGAAGTACGAGATGGAATATAATGCTTTTGAATTAGAAGAAAATCTAACAGATACTCAATATCATGAAAGCACATTGCATGCAATGTTTCCAACAGTTCTTAAATTCTGTTTCGATAAATTTTGTTCTTGTGTAAAGATTGTTTACTTGGAATTAACTATTGAGCATCAACTATGTGCAAAAGGTTTATATAAGCCTTTTTGTATGTAAACCCATACCAACCCTAAAGAATCTGAGCTACCAAGGTTACATCCCTGGTCTAAGATCATACAATAAGCAGAGAAACCTGAGATCTAATTCATGCATTTGAATTTCAAGTTCAGATTTGTTACATGCTATCCTCCTACTTCCTTAGCGATAACAGATTTGATTTTTTGTAACTAGACTATAAATACCTTTCAATTTGTTAAACAAATACAAAAGAATAGTATAAAATAATTGAGTTTACTAACTGGAAAATTCCTGTACATCAATTTAACAACTGTGGGTGGTTTTATCTAGCTTATAAGGAGAGGTCATATGAAAAGGAGAGCATCAGACAATGCCCATGTGAGGTACAATTCAAGTGATACCAGGAGAGAACACAGAGCCCTCATCCCCGGTAACTCTTCTTTATTTTTCAGCGATCTTTTATAATTCTGTAATTAAAAATGTGCTATTTTAGAGAATCACCCTGCACGCATTAAAATTTACCACAGGTTTCTGTGATTATTGAATTATAATTGACATAGAGTTTAGCTCATCCAACTTGGATGAATTGATAGTGTGTGCTTAGAATCCTGTGATGAATAGAATTCTGAGGTCTTGTCCAGGTTCCAAAGACTCAGTTATCAATGTCAGTTAAGGGAGTAGGGTAACAATAGTTCTAGCAAATATATTTTGTCACTACTACATTAGGCTATGAAATCACTATCACCTCAGCATAAGTTTATCTGGCAACTTTCCTGAAGCTCTTAAAAGAACAGGACAAATGAGAGAAGAGACAGTTCTGAAGCTAGGATGACAATAAAGCTTAGGGTAGAATTGGGGGAGGGTACTAGCAAAATGTTATGACAATATTTGTAAACCTTTACCTTGTGGTATGGTCATCTTAAGTTCTGTGGGAAGGGAGTCTGTCAAAACCAAAAATACATATTGAAGAGTTCTTTCAAACAAATCCTTCAACGTCCTTTTCCTGATATTATGGCCTTTTCACAGCTGTGGCTTCTAGGTACTATATTTCCCCAAATGCAAGGAGAAGCTGACACAATTGTGCTTGGGTAGGATTCTGAAACCCTTAGAGATTCAATATGAAACACGTGAAAGAAATTCAGTCAATTTGCAGTTCTTCAGAGACTGATTATCCAACTAATGCATTATCTTCTGGCCCCTTGTTTTCCTTCTTCCACAAGTTAATTTAACAATGTATCAGTTCTGATAAAAAGGCTTGATGATGAAGAAGAAGCTATTATATTAGATGGGTGTGGGGAATTACCAATAGATTTCAATTATCTGTTACTGCTATTAAAGTCTGACTGACTATGGAGGGTGGTGATTCACGTGGATGGCATTGCTACCTTTAAGATATAACTGCCCTTCTTTTTGCCTCATTTGTACAGAACACATAGTATATGTGCATTTTTGAATCTATAGATCCTCACTTCCTCAGTCCTGTTACCTGTGATTGACAAGATTAAAAAAATTGATCAATGATCAGTGAAATGAACTTTCAGTAATATAGAGTAGTGAAATAATTAATAAAGGCATGAAATCATTCAATATCCAATACTTACTACTAAGGGCTGATGCTGTGGATACAAAGAAGGACTAGATATTGGTTACTCTTTGGAAGGAGAAAAAATCACAGCCCACGTGATGTGTGACACAGGGGTAAAAAGTCACTACTAAATCTTTTTACATGCAATTATCATATAAGCTTCAGAAAGTATTTGAAATAAGATGAATGTACTATCAACATTATAAAAGTTACATATAGAGAAAATGTTGACTTCATTAATTTGTAGCAGTGCTTCCTAAATTTGGTTGGGTATTCTGTTTATCCATTCCAATCTGGACCATTCTTCAGAGCCCAAAGAAGGATCCACTCCTCTGCTGCACTGGTTGCCATCTAAGGTCTCTCTTGGCTTTTAGCTTTTAATGTTCAAAACACTTGCTTTTCACTTAATTGATATGGTCTTGAGCTACTACTATATAGGTATATCAGTTATTTAAATTGACTTTTCCCTTGAGAAACCACTATCACCTACTAAACCAGATTGTGAATTCTTCAGGGTCTGGAGCAATTCATGATGTGTTTTCATATCTTCCTCCCAGAGCTGACAGACTTTTGAATATATTTAGGTGAATCACTGACTTGCCTATACTTAATCATTTTGTCTGCAAAAGGCAATTTCATTATGGTTAAATCCACTAATACTTGTTCCAGAAATAATTGTGGGATGAGTGGGGTGCTTAAGTCTTTAAATTCTTACTTGTAATTGTACATGCATGTGTTTCATATATATATACATATACAAATGTTCTACATAGAAGTATATGTGTATATATGTGAGCATAAATACCTATACATGCTGATGAAGTCATTTAGAATTAATGTTTGGATTTTGGTTTTAATGTTTTGAGCAGACATCCAGCTCTGAACAGCTCTGTCAGTTCAACTGCTTGCAAACATGATTTCTTTTTGAAAGAAATGAACAAGACCACCTCTTTTCCAGAGAAATAACTATATCTGAGATAATAGATCATAAATTACTCTCTCATCATGGTAAAACTGATATTTAAGTTTTTTGGGGGAATTGCACAGTTGGTGATAAAATTATTCTGTTGAATAATATTAATATTAGGTAATGTTTCTTTTGAGTATTTACAATATGCCAGAAACTGTCCTAAACATGTCATATCTATGAACTTACTAAATCCTTGCCTTAACCCTGTGACATAGCTAATATTATTACCCTCATTTTACAGATGAGGAAACTGAGGCATAAAGATGTAAAGTCATTTACTGGAAATCACATATCTCATAGTGATGGAAGTTCAGACAGTCTGGATTCAATCCTTTTTAAATATTATAAGGTCTTTAATCAATAAACATAAACTTATCTTAAAATTTAGTATATAAATTGGTTTTAAAATTCTTTAGCTTTGTGAAAATGCACAGCATCTAATGATTACATTACAGTTTGAAGTTATATAGCTGAAAAGAATAACTGCTTACAATAAACTCAAAATAACTTTGAATTACAGTGTCTCAGCTTACTGAATTGAAAACTGGAATCTATAGCACTTACTTGTCTATAAGTTATTTATAAGAAGAGAAAGGTAGTGATGTATGCTATGAAGAACACTTAATCAATCAGGTTTATTCTTGTATTTGGTTTGGAATGAATGTGTGTACTATAGATTGGATCTTAAATATCTCCCAAAAGCCATGTGTTGATAATTTGGTCACCAGTTTGTGATGGTATTGAAAGGTGATGGGGGTTGTAGGAAGTAGGGCCTAAAACAAACAAGTTAGGTCATTGAGGGTGTGACCTTGAAGGGGATATTGGGACCCAGGGTCCTTCTCTCTTTACTTCCTGGTCCTCATAAGATGTGTAGCTTTCCGGTGCTAAGGTATATACTCAACCATATGGTTCTACCTCACCATAGACACAAAAGCAACAGGGCCAAGCAACTACAGACTGAAACCCCTGAAACCATGACCCAAACCTTCTTTTATATTGCTCATCTTAGGTATTTTATCACAGCTATGGAAAGCTAACATAGCATGCAAATACTTTTGTAGAATTGTGTTTAATGCAACTTTCTGTACTCACTCTTTTCAAGAACAGATATTTGTTAATTGCTTTACTACTTGAAAACTAGAAAGTTATACAAAAGTCACACATGCACAGAATAAATAAGACTGATTAACTGGGGGCAACAATAAATTATATATGCACAATGCATTTATATATACATATAATATGCTTAGTGAAACATTGTTTTAAGTTACATATATAAGATGGTTTTATAATTAAAAATCTTTCTTTTTTGCAGTAAATGAAGTCACCTAGAATGGTTTCCGTTAGGTTTGAATGAGAAGAAATGTTCTCCTCTGGAAATCAGCATCAAATAGTGACAGAAGCATTAGTGGGGCAATCAGGATCTTGAGTGTTCTGCTTTCATTTCTGGGGCTTTAGTTGGATTGACTAGAAAAATGAGGTAGTTAAATTAGATGGGTTTAGGTTGTTTAAATGCCAGCTTTCCCAAGTGTCTTAAAGCAAGTGTGTTGTCAGCTCAAAAGCCTTTGCTATAAGAAATAAAATTCTGCTTCTCCTAATAAAATAAGACAAGCATGCTCTACTCTTCAGGAAAATATCAAAATGAGAACAGCCATGAAACTTTCTTAAATTTGAGTAGGAGTTCAATATAATAAATTGAGCTGTTCAAAACCTGGGAGGGTTCTTCTGAAAGGAGATCCCAGAGGCTCTTATCCATGGCAACTTTGGGAAGAGATTCTATGGAAGTAAAGGGCGGAGGTGAAATAGACATGGTGGCTTATAATTTTCTTAAGTTACACCTTTGTGAATTGCTTGAGTATTTTTAATCATTTCCATGAATTACATTTTTAAATTCATTAAGGTTTATTTGGGAAAAGTCATTTTGTTTGTGCTGGTTGTTGTTTAGAAAAGGTGCTTGAAAGGTGAAGCTCAAGTACTGTTCAAGTTGAACTAGTAGAAGGAAGTGTCGTCAGGCAGGGTTACCTTCTTGCAGGCGGTGATGGAGCCACCCAGGCTGCTTCCTGAGCTACCACTGCCACTGCCCTGCTGCAGTTCTGAAACTTCATGCATCAGTGGTGACTCCAAGTTGCTGTTTGTGGCCCAAACACAAAAGAGAACACATTTTAGTGAGTCATCTCTTTATGTAGAAAGGCAGAATGAATGAAGCATGCATGAATTACCAAAAGCCATGTTTTCCCATTGCATTCAACACTGCCAGTTCTTCTGCTGAAACTGACATTTCTTGGTTGGGTACACTTCCATAACTGATGAAACCAGGAAAGACTATTCTATTGTTAATACAAAACTGCACCCTAGGGCCTCCCACAGTGCTTAGATGGACACTATTGCATCTGTCTGACTTCTGGCAGCTTTAGCAACTGTTCCTAAGTAAGCAGTGTTAAAACCTGAGAAAGTCTTTCCACTTGTGACATGACTTCAACTCTACTGACACTAAGACATCATCAAATACTCAACTTATTTTTCAAAATGAGGGTAAATCACAATTTTCATTAGGGATGCACCATGGTGCCTGGAAAGAGTATAGACTTGAGCAAATGCAAGTCACCCCATAGTCACTGCTCTATGGTGGAGACCATCCCTTAGCTTCTGTCTCCAAAATTTGAGACTTACACCCTTCCACATGTCTCTGTTAAATATTGGTGGGCTTGGATGTGTACATGAATGAATACATATTTAATATATTTAGAATTATTTCTATACTAACTCTTTTAAGCATTTCTAAATACTTTTTTCTTCTTTAAGTTTGGTAATTCAGAACTTAAAACATCCTGGTATCTCAAGTCACATGTTATTGCTTTGTCTTTGACCACCTAGAACATGCATAATTCATTAAAATGCATTTTTGGAATGTGATCTAATAGTTCTGTATGCAATTTTCACTCTGTGATACAGGTTTTTCCCTTGAAAGAAGCAGCAAATAGAGCATTTATATAAACAATGTATTTCTATCTAACATCTAACTCTCATGTTTCAAGTTCTGAATTAGTTTTCACATTGGTGCATAAACACAGCTTTTAGACATTTTCATTATTAGTTATACAAAGGACATTTTAAAAATGACTATTGGTGGTATCATGTAACAAATCAGAGTCAGGCAAAAAACATTCATAGAATGATTCAAGTAAAATCTGTTTTGTTTGAAATTTACATATATTATTTTCTGAGTAATTATTATCCGGAGGACTAGACTGAATCTAACATAAATGAAAGGATAACACCATGTTATTCCTGCTTGCTCGTGGAAAGAGAAGAAAAAGGGAGGAAGAGGAAGAGGGAAGTGGAGGAACTAGAGAAAGAAAGAAGGATGAGAGAGATGGAGGGAGGCAGAGATCAAGGAAGGAAGGAAAGGAGGGAGGGAGGAAGGGGATCCTGGCTTCACTTCCTGGCTTTAAATCCCTAGTTTCTATGCACTTGACCTTTCTAGGTCTCAGTTTCTTTGTTTATAAATGACAGGTTTTGACTAAAGTCTGTGGTTCCCTCCTAACTCTGGAAGTCTCTTATAAAATATTTTAGAGGGCCTGGGTTTTCAGCCCCTGTTTTACAGGTTTCCCACAATGTACAGCTACCATTTAAGTGTGACTCCACCTCAAACCCAAATGCAGATATACCAAAGGCTAACTGCACACCATTGATAGGTTCCAAATTCTTAACTTGTGGAAGACAAGACCGTAGGTCAAGCTAACTTTGGTCCACAATAAGTTGGCCTGTGAGTTGAGGAAATATCTGACTCCTTTTAGAGTTTAGCCACACCGTGGGTGTAAGATTTCAGGAAGACATTCCATGTTGTGTTATATCCTCGGACATTTCCGGTGAGCTTCCACTTAGGCCATTCTAGGACTTAACATCCAAAGTTTGGGCATTTCCCATGTTTTTCACTGTGGGACATAAGCAGTCTTAGATGTAAGGTTGAGAAAGACTTAAGGCTGTTTATTCCTGATAGAAAACAGTAGAAAGAGCAGTCCAACAATCTCTAACTGCTCTGGTGGCTTCGTGGTGGGGACTGCATCTGACTTGGCAGTTAGTTAGGTCCCAAATCAGTAGGTAATGTGAAAATGAAGAAAAGTAAAAGGCCCCTCAAGCACATTTTATATGGTTTTAGATAGACAGCTTGACACTATCAGTATACAAAGCTTTTCAGGTACCCAAAAGTTTAAGAACTGCTAATTTCATCTATTAGAAGTAAGAAATGACAATACTACCTGCAGATTTCTGGGTGGTCGTTCTTCTGCTTTTATGACCCTGAGATTCTAGTTGGAAGTGAAAGTGCAGAAAAAAATTTAAAGGTTTTGTTGCTTTCCTGTGGGGCTCACTGCATTTGTTCTAATGATAATCCTTACAGCCTTAAGATATACCTTTAACCATGTTTGCTACACACATATCTATTTGCTTATTGCTGTGAGAATTAATGAGGAGGTAGAGTCACATGGTAGGACTAAGATCAATGCATTATTTGGTGAAGAGCATTATGTAATTCCCCTGAACCAACATTGAGAGCAAATACACCTTCTCAACTCCAGCAATACATTGGATATCTCATTAATGATGTTCTAAATTATGTGACATGGATTTGAATTTCCAGTAGCATTGGTCCAATCTGTTCCATGGCCTTGGAGGTGGAAATGGAAAGTTTAGAGGTTTTGCAAAGATGCTGTCCTTGATCTCCAGGGAAGCAGAATGTTTGCTACCACAGGATGAAGCAGTGATGGTGTTGACATGAAATTCATGCATTTATTAAAATGAGCTCAAATCAATGTTAAAAGAATGGCTGTCAGGATGCAATGCAGCTTTACAACTTGCTGTCCTTATAATGAGCATGGCTGCAAACTCTTCCCTATGACATTTTCCTTTGATTCTGACAAGGGTTGACAATATTTTTTCATGCTGAAACTCTTAAATGTATTTCAGTAAGGTAGGTAAATGAGAAAGCAGTTACAAAATCATGATTGGAAGTAGTGACTTTAAGCCAGCCTTGTGTCAAGCAACCTTCTTTATAAAATGTATCAGGTATCAATAAATGAGGTGCTAAGTTGCCACTGCCCTGCCATCATCAATAACTCATGCAAAGTGAATAAATAGGTCACTACTAAAAGTAAAAATGGTCCAGGAATTGATTTCCCTAGAGAAAGAGGTGTTTAGTTAACTTGAAATTGAGATGTCTATATATTGTTAATCAAAGCTTTGTCCAGGAACCAGCTTTAACAGCCTTGCTCGGGAGCTTGTTAGAACTAGGGCCCTTCCCCAGGACTACTGAACCAAATCTACATTTTCACATTTAAGTTGGGTAAGTTGTATGCCCATTAAGGTTGAGAGTTACTTATCTGATATATTAAATCTAATGCACATTCTTATTTGCTGTTGGTACTTTGCACGTGACTTTACATCTTTTAGGAACATGAATCATAATCCTTCTTTCTCCTCAGTAATTCCTACTCCATCCTTGGGTCTCAGCTTTTAAATTGCTTCTGGTGCCTCTTCTCTCTGCTAAGGAGCCACTATCCCTTTCCAACATCTTTCCAAAGCCCCATGTACACACAAACACACTCACACCCCCACCACAACCAAGAAGTGAGTCACATGCTTTCTTGTTTGTTCCAATAGCACCCTGAGTCATAATCTCTTACAGTGTACATCCAAAAGGGAGATCATTTTGTAATATTTGTCTGTCTCTACCTTCAGCCTGAAAATTCTAAAAGGTCAGGAATCATTTAGGATTTACAATGGTGCTAGGTAGTGGTAAATGACGTGCATGTTTTTATTGAGGTTGTTTGTTCCTGTATTTCTGACTATCTTGGTTAACCTCAAAAGATTAGGCACAAACATATGCTTGAATTCATTGTTTAATTTTCTGCAGTGGTGACAGATGGTAGGATAAGCCATATCTGAGAAGATAATTTAAAGTATTTTCAAGGACAGTAGTAATGAAAAAGGATCCTGCTGTTCTTGTCATTAAAATGTCAAGTAAACACGGTGTAAAGTTAAACAATTTTAATAAACTTAAGGGTTAAGATTTGCTCTCATCTTCCTTCATTTAAAGAATGCCGTTAAAATATAGTGATCATCATTCCCATTTGATTGTCTCAATCCTATCAAGGATATCTACTGTCAATCTTTATACTAAATCTTTTAATTTCAACACTTTTAATTTATCAAAAGAGATTTTGAGTGAGGAATTGAGATTCTCTCATTAAAATTAATTTAATGACATACTACAACGAAGAATCTAGTGGATTTTAAAAGTTTGCTCAACTGGATGTCCTGATTTTACCTTCATCAAGAGGGATTTTAAATGCTGTGTGAAACTCAGGGGCTTAGGTCAATCTTTCAAAAACTGATTTGCTTTAAAAATCACACAAAGCTTCCATCCTTGATCAAGTCAGGTCCTGACAGTCCTCTGCCTGATCACACCTGGACCTTGGTCTACTGAGCCCAGTTTTAGTAATAAACCCTGCTTAAGGATTCCATCCTTTCCGCTACCCTTGAAATCTCTAATTTTCTATCCACTGACCCCTCACTTTGTCTGTCATCTATCAATTTCCACTTGCCCCTTACTATATTGCAGTTAAAGCCAGGTCTATAAAGATGTGTTCTTCCTACTGCAGTGGTTCACATAAAATCTATCTTGTCATCTTTAACGAGTATGTGTTACAAAATTTTACACGGTAACTTTTCTGCGTTCATCTCCCAGTGAAGAAGTTTATATGTCCTCTCTATAAATTTTGCATTCATACTCATGCTTTGCTTTTCTAGGTTGAAGATGTCATTATCATCAATGAAAATTAAATTTGTCACCAATTCATTGGTGGCAGAAAGACCTATAAAGTCCTCATTAATTCTGTAGGATTATAGTAAATATATCATTGGAAACAAGTAGTCAAACTTTGAAAACATTTAGGAACCATCATTTTATATCATGTTTCAGTAACTGTAGAAAGAATTCCAGGTTTTTGATCTCCTCTACCAGTAAAATAATAATAAAAATCACAATGCATAAATTGGTCAGCTTTTTACTTTCCTAAATAAAAACATTTTAAAAGCAAATGATAAACATATGCCTTTGCTCTTACCATCACTCTTCAAAGAAAGGATATTGTATGCCCTGTATAGCTATCCTTATCTCAACCAGCAAAAACCCTTGTTCCTTCCTATTATTGCTTATACTCTCTCTACAACAAAATTAGAAATAAGGGCAAAATAGTTTCTGCTGGGTATTGGGTGGGG